ACGTTATCTAAAAGCAACCCTACCAAGGGTATTTTGCTTATATATTCCGAGGCCATACCTTTCTAACTGCGTAATCTTGTTAACAGTTGTTGACAAAGGTTAAAAAAAATCAATATTGGGGTTGACTAAACGATAGAAACATAATGATGAAATTAAAGTCGATTTTCCCCCATTACATAATCCAGTCGATTAAAATCAATCTTAATTTTAAAATAAAAACACACATTGACGCCTGCCCTTTTCCTAATGACATTTGCGGATTGATGTTTAAGATATTAATTGTTTCCACAAAAGCGTTCAGGAAGATGATACAAGATATCGTTATTATGTGGCTACAAAGACTAGCGTAGCAAGGCCCACATGCAGTACTTTTTTTCTTTTTTTTTTGGAGATGCATATATTTACACAAATAAATACAATATACTGTAAATGTGTAAATGAAAGAATGAATTATTGATGAATGAATGAATTGAATAATAATTTAAATCAATATAATGCTCTTTTCTAAAATCGTGTACGTGAGGCGCTATATAAATCCAGATTTATTTATTTATTTATTTAAGTTTTGTTGGCACTGCGCGAAGGTCAAAATCGAAACGCAGGTGATTAACATGTGAATGAAAGGAAAAATGCAGAATCAATTAAAATACCACCAAAGTGCTTTTTATTCGTACGTTTCAATTACTTATATGAATGTTCTTGATCTTAAGACAAGGTCGATTGTTTTCTGTTGACGAACTTGTTTTGATGTTGTCTTGTTACTTGATGATTATGAGAGAGCCATTGGTTAAGTTTTGTGAGATTTTTATTTAGATGTTTTCACATTGATTTGAGCATAGTGATGACAGTGTCATCTGTATACATATAAATATTTTGGCGGCCTCCTGCCTGGCCGTAGGCCTACATCTAATTTCGTTCCTTGAGTCTTTAAAATAGGTCTAAAATATTCCAATTAAACGTTCAATTTGTTTAGTTTATTAGGGTCCATTGATTCAGGAATTCCTTAATTGTACATAGGCCTACTTAATATTTAATTTGAAGTAATTTTCTTCGATTTTTAATTAACCTTGTTGGTCGGTGTAGACAGGTAAACATCGTGAGATGATTTCATAATTAGGCTAGGCTCGACCCCTGGGACCCCACTTCTGCAATAGTCAGTATAACCTCTGGACGCCTGTAAGGGATGTAGGAGGCGGACCTTCCACCGTTTAGGGTTTGTAAATGCTTATTCAATCGATTTTAGAGTCTCATATTATATTGAGCTCCCCGACCACTGGCGTTAACACTGCACACAACAATATTCAGGACTAAAGCCGGGCACTTATTTCGCGGTCGTCAGCCGGCGCGCGATTTTGTTGAACGCAATGCCACGACACGCGCGCAGAGGATTTAATCACGATCCGTTCAAACTGCCACCTCCAATAGAGATGGATTCGTCGGCCGACGGTCGTACTACCGTCGTACGACGCAGTGAGTGCCCGGTTTAACCTGTGACGTGAGCGCTAGATGACGCGACGCCGTCTGCTGAAATGTCGATGGTAGTTTGAACGGCGTTGTGGCGTTGTAACGTTGCGTTCTTCATAGAATCGTGTCGGCCGACGACCGTCCGGCGCAGTGATTGTCCACATTCTCAGCTCTATCTTGGCTAACACGAAATTCAGCACTACGAACACGTTCATAGCCTCACAACACTTCCATGGCTAACACGTTTACAGCACTATTGTGGCTAACTCTTTAAAAATCAGAATAATTGACAGAAAATTATTGCGACTATATGTCGTAAATGTGTTAATTGATAAACATATGCATTTTCGTATATATGTTGCAGTTTTAATATCAATTTGTATTTACATTTATTAAAACCATAGAATATTTGCTTTAAAATTACCCCTTCAGATTTCCAGGTAATTTACTACCGTAATCAATATTGTCTTTATTTTCACGATTGAAATCTTTCTAAGTATAATTTGTAATTAGAGGGTAAGCTTGCTGTCTTTTTATAAAAAGCGTTGTAATGAAATTAATTTGCTATCAATGAGTATGACGTTGGGAATTGTAGTACTGCTAATGATGATGAAGACAAAAGAACGGAGTAAATTCTCTGTTCGTTTTATACTGTTATTACCTTTTTCCTGCGTAGGTCAACATCTTATGGTTAACTAACCGTATTAATTTGAAGAGTTAGATCATAATTTCTTCATAGACGTTATCAGTCTTTATAAATTGATGGATCATGACAGTTGTATTTTTTTATTCATCAAGCTTGCGGCCAAACGACTGATAACTTATTGAAAAAAAAATCCAAAATAGGAACCCAGATGGATTTCCGATCCAGCCGTTGATATATAAAGACGAACTTTCAGGAAAATTGTCACTATTATTGTAGAACTTACAAGCGTAGGAGATCCGTCAAACATATCAATTGCTAAAAATCTGTCAGCGATAGACTTACAATGAAAGGTAAGTTTGTATTACTGTGTAGCCTATTTATTGTCCACGAAATCACTACCTTTGATATGTGTTTAAGGTTTGAATTTCTGAATTTAGTACCGGGTAGCCAAAAAAAAAAAGTGTGTAAATTATGGGAACATTCTAAACTTCATTTTTTTTAAATTATTTTTATTTTAGATGATTATGTTGCATTATTATAGGCTTTACTTTAGTGTGAATTATAGAGAAAAAATGCTAAATTCATAATTCAAATTGACAACTGATATTTATTTAAGTATTCAATGTCTTATATGTGTAATATTTTATCATGTAAAATGTTACATGACGATGGCAGTCTGAGGGGTTAGTCGGTTAAAAAAATAACTATCCGTCGTTCACACCTCTTCGTGTTTTGTTCTCCATGGTATTGCGCCGGATGACGACCGTCGTCGCCGTATCCGGGCTTATCATCGCTTGTCTGAGCCTACGTGCCCTTATTTATATGATCAGGCCCAGCATCCGATTTCTTTACTTCAGTTTTTTTACCGTTCATGCATCACATTGCGAGACATGAAATGCTGTTTATCTATTCGCTGTGTTGAATTAGTAGTAGGCCTATTTGCTGTATATAAATGTAAGACATGATAAATGATACCGTAGTTTGTTTTGTTGAACTAGAGACACTATTATTGTTTAGTCCAGAATATGTGAATTACAGATCTGCCTTTAAGTACAGATCCTTCCAATTAAAGACCACCTTTCTACAGCCCCAAATGAACATCTATTTTTTATATTCAAAATAATAGGCCTAATAATTGTTCTAATTAAAGACCAAAACTTCCAAAGACCATGAAATCCCAAGTTCCAAAAATGGCCTTTAAATGGAGGAAGACCTGTATCCAGGATTTTAATATTTTTTTCTTACACAGTGAAATTTTTCACATTTCTATTTTGTTTGATGTGACATTAATTTGTTCAAAGGGGGATGTAGACAGAGGTGCTTGACACCGGTTCATTTTTTCCTTTTCGCTACTTGTTTAGTTGTTCTGTTACTTTTACTCGTTTTGTTTGCAGTGATGAAGCTTAATAAAATAAATACAATAAAATAGGATAGGATTTCCTACACAAGCTCATTGGATTACCAGGTACCCACTTGAACTCCTGGGTGGAGAGAGACAACCTTAGGTAAAATGACACAAGCGAAATGCACATTGAGGGATTGAACCTCCAACCTTAATGTTGAGAAGCCAAACCGCTCCTACCACTATAAATATTGATATGTTAACGTTTTTAGTGGAAATAATTGATTGTCATATATACAATTTAGATTACGTATCAATATTATAGTGTTTTCCCATGAGGTTTGGTGCAGTGGAAAAGGTTTGATTTTCAAACTCTAGGTCGGGGTTTCAATCCTTCGGTGCATTTCGCTAGAGCAATGCATTTTATCTACATTGCTTCAGTCAGCAGCTGTCAATGGGTACAGTGAAGCTCGGTTTCCATACAACCGCTCACCCTCGGCGACAGTCGCCAGGGGCGGATTTAGGGGGCGGCCCCCTTTTTTTGGGAGGTAAAACAATGAAAATAAAAAAGAAAAAAAGAAAGAAAAATAAAAAAAAATGATAGCCCAGAACGCCTCAAATGTTATTTTCGGGCGTCTAGAACTCGAAAATTTCGCGTGGAAATGCCCCCGGACCTCGTAGGGTAGTGTTGTCTCGATCGGCCCAACTTTCGCCCCCCCCCCCCCTTTGGACATATCTGGATCCGCCCCTGGTCGCCAGCAGTTGGGTAGGTTGAACCTGGTTCAACTTTGCCGATTACATTGCAGACGAATCAGGGTGCATTGCTAGTAGCCTCGACCCAATCGGGAAGGCGCCCTGAGTCTATAGTATTTTCATTATGCAAACTTACGATAGTTATTAATAAAAACTACTTCAACGTATTTACTTTAATATTTTATATTAGAACACTTCGAAGCTAAAAAATACGTTTGCACCCAAACACACATGCTGGACAATACATTCTCTGCGCACACAACAAAAGGCGTTTTTATCTCTAATTGAATTTCTAAAATATTTAAGCCACGGAGACAATCGACATAGGAATATTAATATATAAAATTAATATAATTTTTATATATGATTGTTATAGAGGTAGCCGCGAGAATTGTATTAACGTAATTTCACTTGCTGAAGAAAAACGTTTTGTGTAATTGGATCTTATTGATTTCGAAGTAAGCACCAATAAGAATGAAGATGAACTACAGGTGAGCTTAGCGTCACACGCAAATAACTGCGGGTAAGTTAGATTGATACTCATACATGGTATTCTCTTGATGTTGACGTAGATATCACGCTGACTTAATATCAAGATCGAAAAATATTATAATTGAAAGTCAATAAATATAATATTGTCATTAATTTTAGCTTAGCATCTTTTTATTATTTCCAGCGAGATCGCGCTCAAGAGACAGGATAATGTTTTTAGGAAAAACATTTATACCTCACACACTTCGGCAGATGTTTCATTAGTGACTTATAAATTGATACAAACATTATTAGGAAAAATATTAAATATGTAATGTAAAGTAATGGACAAATGGAATAAAAAAGAGAGAGCGCTGTGGAGCTGCTAGCCAATTAGTGCATTCTACTTACATATTTTTTCCTGCTATAACTGCTTTTTCTCTTCTCTTGTGTTCTTATTTGGTTCTTAGTATATTTTTGACTATTAATTATAATGTCTATAGGTTTCCAAGAATTTTATCTGAGTTTTCAGTTCTTAAGACTGCATTTTGTCAACATCAGCTAGGCTATAATAGTCAGTTTTTCACGCCTGACCAGTCACTATGCTTAAAGTGGGGTGCGGGGATGAGACAAGTGGCCATATTGCTTATTTGACCTTTCCTGAGTTCGGGAAAAATACTTAAACAATTCAAAATGTTGAGATGTAACGATAATTACAGAAACACAACATGACATGATGAGACAGGAAAATCAGGTGAAAAAGAGGCTGATCACTTTTTTCAGTAGCTTGGCAGCTTTTTTCTAACCAACTCGTTAATATTCAAGACAAGTCTGTCAATTAAATTTTGGTGAGCAGCTGATCGAAAAATCGTCCCGACGATCGAGCGACTAGCCTAGACAATACATACAGTACAGTACACCAGTGTGAAGTCGTGAGTTTTTGTGATCGTTTATTACGTACGCAGTTACAGAGAGACGGTTTAGTCAACGCCAATTCAATCATGGAGGAATAATTCAATTGAATTAATAAACGTATATGATCAGTCCGATGACTTTTTTGTTTAAAATTTGGCCTACAACTATGCCTAGCTAGGATTAGCAGTCAGTGTATACCCAGCAGCAGTAGCGCACTCCTGTCCGGGACACTGCTCCAGTCCCGCATCAGGTGAGTTCGCACGCAGCCTTATCCAGCTGATGACGGTAAAGTTAGTAGGTTTCTACTACTAGCCTAGCCTAGACTTGTCACATTAATTTTGCTAGTGCATTTTTTTTCATAATAATAGACCTAGGCCCATAGGCCTACTAATAATACTGTAGTATACTATAGGCCTGATCCAATGAAAAACTGTCTAGGCCTAGGCCTAAATGTCTAAAAAATGCACTGTCTAAATAGTAAATAAAGGTGATGTGCTATAACACTACAGATCATCAGAGCCAACACCAATTCCTGTAAGAACAAGATAATTATTATTATCTTGTTCTTATTATACACAACAATAACACCCCATTAAATAATAACATAATGCATATGTTACTCCAAACCTAACTTTCAGCTGTTGTTGAAATGTGGAATTCAAATAAAATATATACATATATATTTTTGTAGGACAAGATATGTGATAGGCCAAAACATGACACTCTCCTCACATATGTATTTGCCAGTCGCCATGATGAAACAAACATACCACAACATTTGCCATGAGTACAACCACCCAACATTGGCATCTACGAAAGAAGGTGGTACAAAGCATACAAGCACCCAGCAAGACATTAGCAAGAAGCACTCTGGTTGTTTGCTGAAACTTGTAATGAAAGCTACACACAATTTAAGGTAAGCAAAAGAAAATTAAGTGAATATCTCATCACTGTTCAGCCAGAGTACATGAAACAAATATATTGGAATGGTAAAAAAAAATATCAGCATGGTGTGTCAGTTTTATTAAGAAACAACAATATACATTACACACTAGCAGATAGGAAGGCTTCAATCAAGTAATTAAAAAATCTGAAAATACTGTCAATTGATGAATGTCTTTTCAGATTAGTACATACAGTATCTCAGTACGGTATGTTATTGATAAAGCAGCAAATGCCAATGTTTGATAACATTTTTGATTTTTAACAAACCTGGTTTTGCATTATTGTTACTACTGTACTGTATATTTATTCCTCAATAGGAGCAAATGACTGGCTCAAATGGATGTGATGCAAACAATTCCATCTGTGTGGACATGATGAATTGGACATGTCCAATCAATGGTTAGCAGAAGGTGGCGATGCTCAGAGCTCTGCAGCAAGTGATTGAGGCCAAAATATTTCCAAAGAATTAAATTAAAATGATTTATCTAGTGACTTTTTCTGAAGATATACTGAAATGCCATACACTTAAGTTTTTGTTTTTTTACGCATCTGGTTTATATTGCATGCCAAATTTATAATAAGTAAATAAATACTGTACCAGTATTACTGTACCTGTTTCACTTGCAAAATATCTTTAATATTATTAAATGGTATTATAATCCCATTCAATAGTAATCCTTTTGAAGCAAATATGTGACCCAGATTTAGAAAACAAATTGTGAGTATTAATTTTGAAATATGTAATGTGCGAAGTTGATAGTACAGTATGAAAATGTGGCTCAATATATACAGGAACAACTATCTTAATGTATGGCTTTGTACAGTCTTGTGTAAAGTTATTCTATGAAACTGCTTATTTTTTAATGCCTGGATTATGCCTATGTCTGCATGCTGATCAATTTGGTATTGGAATTTAAGAGAAAG